CAATCCTGGACAAAACATCTGCGACACTTCCAATTATACTTGACAAAATATCGTAATGTTATCGTAAATTTAGAAAACCTCCCCCTTTCCCCCACCATTCAATGTTGATTGGATTCGTAGAATACGAATAAAACGTCAAACATTGTTTTGGGGGGCGGAGGGGGGCAAACGAGGAAATTATTCCGGTCTAACTGGTGAAAAAAGCCACAAAGGAATGTTTTAATAAAGTGTCGGAGATGGTTTTGTCCAGGATTGTAGCTAGTAAAATTGTTATGGAAAATGATATGGAAATTCAAAAGTCTACAAACTTTTTCCCAAGGTTTTATTAAGTTATAGACAGCTGCTTCCTCCACAATATAGACATTTGGCAAGCTGGACACTTGCACAACTATTATAAAATTGAACTGTTATGCCTGTATGTACTGTGCTGCATATCGTCACAACACAATCTAACAAATCGAAAGTTTTTCAAATGGCACTCGTCCTTCGGATCGGACTCTTGCAATTTTGATAGTCTTTGAAAAAGTCACTCGTGCATGTTTTTTTTTCCAAATTGCACTCGAAACCATATACTATTAACCTATACGAATCAAAAAGTGGCGTTTGTATACTCGGTAACTGACCTAAACCCCATAAGCAGGCAACTAAATTACAATGAAGTCCATTCCAAAGTCCAGTCCACTGTTTATAATATGCCTTCAAGGACTCATGCAGTCGCGCACTAATCACCAAGTGCATGGTAATGGTATGTTTAATGTTTGTTTTAATAGAGAAGACGTTGGCGAAACTGGCAGAGCTATCGTGTCTTACAGGTTCAGTTCCAAAATTTTAAGCTCCGATCAAACGAGGCCTAGATGAGAGTTGACGAGAGTTGACGGTCTCGAATTGTTACAGGGGAAATTATAAGCTCTAGATTCACAAAATAAAGGTTTGATGAATGTTCCAACTATGTTTTGACTTACCTAAATCGAATATAACATAGTGTATAGGGAAAGCATAGCTTCCTCCGCAGGCATCGCACCTGAAGAATTGGGTGGTTGGAAAAAATTTGGTGAAATTTTTTTCCAAACACAATGATTCGCAGGCTAAAACCCATAGAGAGGCCTGCGAAGGAGGCTAGGGAAAGCATTAAGAAGAGCTAACCAAGATCACGTGACTTTAAAAGTAATTCATATGCACGCTCATCCTCGTTTGGCCCATGCCTAACTTGACAGGCCACCTTTGAGAATAAGCGAAGGATTTTGACAAGGCCCTGGAAGCCCATTGTTCGAAAAGAAGTTATATACTACATTAACGCATATTTTCCCTTGATTGACAACGGCAGAAATAGTACAACCAATCATCAATTCACGTCCACTGTTGGACGGAAATTAAATTAAGTGTAAAAAGAACTAGATACTATGCATAGAATAACTTGCATGAACACAGGCAACAATGGTACAGTATACAGGGTTTGTTAATCTTCCACAAGACCCTTGTTTCGCTTGCAGCTTTTTCCTATGTTACAAAACGTATATTGTATTCCATTGTTATACAGGGTGTCTAAAAAAAAGGGTATGGAAATTCAACAGACTGTAGAACACTTGCATCCAAGCCCCTGGGTTATTTGTTTTGTGATTAGGGACGGACCATCTCACAGAAAAAAAATATCGTGCACAACAAACCAATTGAAAAAAAAGTCGAGCAAAAACTAGGGCTGATTTTTATACAATTATTCTAAAACATTAATGCAATTATCCTAAAACATTAAAATGGTGTTTTTACAACAATCGAAAAGATGTATGCTTTCCTTCA